TAGGGGATATGGTATGAACATAGCAATGACCCAACGAGATGTGATGTACCTTTTGACTTTGCCCTAATGAAGTCGGAAAGGTCACCAAGCCCCTGGTTTAGATGATGTGGGAGCAGAAATGTCCATAGTAGAGTAAAAAAATCAAGATGGCAGCCACAACCACACGATTGAAGCCCCACCCCTTTTTCACAGCACACATAAAAAGAGTTGCGGCTTCAGTTGTCCATTCACAGCCACCATCTTGATTTTTTTTTTTTTTTTTTCCTATCCTTCCATGTGGACAACCTTGTGTAGGAGTGGGGTCTGCAGAGAAAAGCAGTCACCAGACAGAAAATGAAGATAGCTTGGAGCTGCATATCAGTTACTGCTTTTTTAAACATTGCTTTGTGGTAGGATTTCATGAGGATAGACTGTATGTGTGTTGACTGTGAAGGTATGTAAATGAAAGGATTACTAGTCTACTCTTGGTTTCATTGGACTGTTAAGCTCTAGTATGTGATCTGTTGATGTTGAGCTTCAGGCTATATTTAAAAATGCAAAGCTTCTAATTTGGGATGATTTGTAGAACTTCAATGTGTTTGTGCAAGTACTTGTGTCCTGATAGTCTTGTGTTCTGTGCATGTGTCCTGATGTTCCACCAGCCTTTTTTTTCCCCTGCCAATAGACACTTCTGTGTGCAAGCAAAGCCATCAGCAAAGAACCATGCAGTTGTTTTTGCTGCATTGTGCCTAGCAGGCAGGCAGCAACACGCGCACACACAAACACAGAGATATCAGATCTATTGCTTAATCTTGCTAAGTAAGTGAGGTGTCAGTGCCTGCAGAAAAAAATTGGCCAAGGAGATTATATTTACTTTTTTATTAAATTTATAACACTGGAAAACCTCATGAGAATAGGAGGAAGTACAATTTGTGTCTGCCTGCTTGCCTGGCTTTTTGATTTTCAAGCCTCAGCTTGTTTCTCTTCAGGCCAGGGTATGTTCTAATTAAAAGAAATGTTTAAAAGATTAGCAGGTCTCTTTGACTCTTAATCTGTTGGGTGAACAGCGCAGAAGGGTTATTTAAAGGATTTGAAAAGACCTCTATCTGTTCTGTGTCTTGAAAAGGGAAGGAGATTTCTGATAACAGACTTTAATCTAAACAGTAGACAGATTTCTCACCAGTTAAGAAGAAAGCTGTGTGTTCCATTGTGGCTTATGGTGATTTGTTTTAATGTTTTCAAAAATGCTTTTAAATTATTCTTTAGCCATGATTTCTGTAATTGGGGCAGTAAGTAACACACTTTCTCCAGCAAACATTTTGAGTGTGGTTTCAACTCATTTTGAGTAATTGATTGGAGTTGACCAAATATATATATATTTAGAAAGGTAGAATAATCATAATAACAATAACAATAACA